TAGCTGTAGAGGGCAGTGTCACTGGCCCTCATATGTGGGATCTGAACCGGGGCCCTCTGGCGTCCCAAGCCAGCTCTTAACCATCGCGCCACTTGGCCAGCCCTATCGTTTCCCTTTTTCATTGCTTTTACTGGTAGCAATGAATGAATGTGTAATTTTGGGTGCGACCTTTTTCCTTTTCAAGAAAAGAGGGGTTTATGAAAAAAAAAAAACCATGTAAAAGCTAGAAGCTGCATAGCAATAGGAGCAGTGGGCTGATGATAAGGATGTATCATAGGCAATAAGGCCTCGCCCCATGCCGTCCTGCTGCAGTTGCTTACGAAACGGAAAAGGCACTCAGGAAGCAGTTCCTGGGTCCTTCCTTTTGTACCTGAAAGGTCTGGGCCACTCCAGAGCTAGAGAGAAATGCATGGTTCTTCCTAAGCGCAGTCCCTTTGTCCTTAGTATATCTGTTAGAACATCTACCACCACAGGGAGCGCATAAAAGGACAAACACACACTCTCATGCTTCTGAGGGCCAAGTTCTTGCAAAATAAAACACAAGATTAGGTATTCCAACTTGTGCAAATTGCAGGAATCAAAAGAGACCACGGGGCCAAAGTGATGCATTCTAGAGAGAGTGATGTCCCCAGGCAGGGGACACACAAAAGTGAAATGAGCTTGATTATGAGTGATGTGTCTAAGGAGAATTGATTTTTCTTCCTTGTTAATCCACTTGATAACTCTATTTGAATTTGAGGTACACACGCCAGCACATATATCCTTCCATGTTCCCCTAAGGGAGCCTTCGTATTTGCCGAAAGGACATTTCATGGGGAGTTGGCAGAGACTGCATCACTTGGGAGACACCACGCAGCAGGGGCCTTTATCTTTAGGTCCCACATGGCTACATGACCCTCTGATATCACCAGTGTGACACTGCTTCTCCGAAGACACAGCTTTCTTTGAGCACATGCTACATGGGGCTGTTAATGAATAAATAAAGCCGCGTGAGTGGGGGGGATAGCTGCACCTGGACACCCTGAAATGCAAAACTGCTGTTTCACCTTCCACATGCGTCTGCCACACAGTGAACGTGCTTACATGACAAAATTCAAACACACACAAAGACAGGAGAAAGAGCAGGTGGTTTCATAGCAGGCAGCAGGACTACTTAAAATATGGGATGCTCTTTTCTCCGTTATTTCTATGCAACCTGCTTAATTCTTTGTTTATAAAACTAGAAGAAGAAGAAGAAACCAAGAAAAGGATATTTTTCTCCTCACCGCGCCCCTCCCCTTGCTATTTAATATCTAAATATTGACGCAGCTCATTGACTCTGATAAAATGGAGACGAGGGTCCGTGGAAGGAGCAGAGGCCATGGTATCAGGAAAAACCAGCCCTTCACTCAACACTTACGAGGCCTTAGGTAAGGCTCTGAATTGCTCTAAGTCCACAAAATGAGGAGTGGAAGTGAGACTCAAAAGAGGATATAGAAACATCTAGCAAAGCGTCCAGCACAAAGTTGTCACGAACGTTTGTTGAATCTGAATCAGTGGGTGGAAAAGAACACAAAATACCTGAAAAACACCCATCAGGGCTATTTTTAGTCCTCAAAGCAGTTCTGCTAGTTGAGGAACATGTTTTGTGTGTTGTATTTACTATCCTGGATGTCAGTACTGAAGTTCCTTGTATTTTCTCAACAATGAAACCATGAACTGCTGAGTTTTTCTTAGCGAATGTTTTCAGCACTCCAGGCTAAAGTCTGCACCCAGTAGATTAGACGTTAAGTTTTTAAATCCGTGTTGCCTGCCTTCCACGTGTATATATTTCTAAGACCTCTGCCTATAATGATAATCCTTAAGTTCTGCCTTATTTCAAAGCATTCAATCATTACTTTGGCAAATCCCTTTCATGAATGAGGAGGAAACTATCCTAAGTTGTGGGAAATAGGCCAATTCCTTCCAAATTGAGAGACAGGAACTGGACATACGCTGTCTCATATATTCTAGAGTGCCTAAATATCTGTATTGTCAGGTCAGGGCTGGGAGGAAGCGAGTGCTCACTTTCAACGAACCATGATGGATGAGGCTTGTGGGCAGACCCGATGGAGCAGAAGGCTCCTAACGCCTCAACCCACTCATTATGACTCTTCAGGTGGGGCTCTCTCTGAGATCAGCATGAATAATCCAGTGATGACAGGCCTGAAGCAAGCAGAGTCTTGCTGACCCAAGGTAAATTCACTGCGAGTATTTTCCTACTCGTTTAGGAGAAGGGGAGAGCTGACTCTTGAGGATAG